AGCGTTCAGCTACCCCTCTGAACCCCATCTTATCGGACGGAGACACCTCTTCCCAAACCTAGCCTCCGCAGGCACTTGGAGGCACTTTACACATATACCTAATAGCCCCCCCCCCTCCTAACCAAAACTTCTGGATCCGCCCCTGGAGGAACTATTTGTTAAAAAAATCCCATCAACTGCAAAATGTCTGTAATGTTTGTACTAGGATATGTAAATATTTTAAACAGTGTATCTACGTTACTTTTTTATTTTGAAATTGTTGACCGGTAACTGAAAGGAAATTTACCGCACGGGCGCATCGAAGTAAAACCGTAATATTTGTAGTGTCCCTAGTAAAAACTTGAAGAATGGAGTAAGTTAAATGTAATTAGTTAAAACATTTAAGTAATTGACCAGCTGATTATATCAAATTTCCAATTTATTTCTTCTGCGCACTTGACAATTATACTAACGATAAGTAGTGGACACAATTTAGAGTGTAAACTGTCCATATTATTGTAAGTATGACAACCTTGATATCTAGGTGTATTAATAAAAAAATTTGCCTCTTTTTTATTTATTATTTTTATTGTAATACCATGGTATTAAATACGAACGTATTTCTTTAGACTAAATACCTGGCCTAAGCCTATATTTTTTAAACAGAGAATAAGCCATCTAACATTAACAAAACATTGTAATAAATTATTTTTTTTTTTAGTTAATGCATTTTGATTACGATTAATATCAGGATTAACGTTTTCAGTTTCCTTTGAGTTCCGAATCAGCATTTTGTCGCGCTGTTTTCAGTTCCTTTCAATTCCGTAAAAAGTCGAACATGGGCAACTGAAAGGAACTAAACTCAACTCAACTCAACTTGACACATGTCGACAAATATGCGCGACTGTCAGTTCCGTTCAGTTGCGTTTGGTTCCTGTTAGTTTAGCGGAGCGTTCATGTCGACGAGTTGAGTTGAGTTCCGTGTGGACATGAGCCTGTCTTTAGTCAAAACTACTGCCCAACCACTTCTTAGCTAATTTTATTATGCACTTCGTCGTTAAAACCAACACTCAAGCTTCCGGCCTCTACAACATCTTCTGGTACAGAAAAAAAAACCACTTATTTTCACTAGTGCTCATCAATCACTCTCATTTGTTGCGATTAATAATAGGATCGTTTATTTTGCCGGTTTGTGTCAATTATAATTATAATTTATGCGCATAATAGTACATTATTTTATGTATTGCACTGCTGTATTTTAGATAGAGTATGTACGCTATTTTATTTTAGTCTTTGACTGAATCTACTTAAATGGAACTTTATAAGTATCAACGACTCTTGGAATTTTAATAATGATTTTGTATGCCTACACTTGTAGTTACTTTATATTTGTTTTTTTTTAAAGAATCAACACTATAATAATGTATATTTTTCATAAAACGCTATTGATTAGATTGATATTTTGGACTGAGAAGACATCACCGACAAAACTTGTGAGCTGCAATCTGGGTTATACAAATAGAAAAGATCTTATAAACACAAACCTGCTGAATCCATCAGGGATCGCTCTTGATCACGACCAAAGAAGGTAGTACTGTGTATTATTACAATTCAAAATATAAAATACATTTTATGATAATAACAATGATATCTTGAAATACTTCACTTGGATCAAAAGGCATTATGATTACAATCTTAAAATCAGCGCTGGTTCGAGCCACAGCTCGATTGGTAGTATCAAGTCTTCTCGCATAAGGACTTCTGTGAAGTCGGATGTCAGTTGTACAAATCTTCTCGTGTTTACTCTAAGCCCGGCACATACTCTACACCAAAGGTTTTAGAGGAGAGGCCCACACGATTTAATGAGGAACGCAGTGCGAGGATGCATGCGCAGAGGATCGTTTTTAATGGAAATTTGCTCAGACTACCACCGACTATCAACAGTTACAGAACCATTGTCAGAGGAGTAAAAATTTCCATATTCCCTGATTCCTATTGCTAATACCTTTTAAAATTGCTTACATTTGAAACATTTTAATTCTCTAATTTTTTTGTGTGTGTGAGAAAGTAAGCACCTGTTTTTAGGTTGATTTTCAGAGAAAAACGTAGCGTACTCTTTCCTTTGCTTTTTTTCATAAAGGATTTATATTGTTGGTGAAGATAGTACACTTATATATACTATTGACTATGATGGTATCGAGAATGTTGACGTTATTGGCTCAAGTATCAGTCCTGCTAAAGACATCACTCTTTATCAGGTAAATTATTGAGACTTTGTTGATTATTATTATTTTTTATTCTTTCTTTCTGCTATTTTCAACTTATGAAAGCGACAGAGTGTACAGGTTCAAACAAGTATTCCATATATTTACTTTTGTCATATTTTGGTATCATTACAAATGCGATATGTACATTTTATGTAATTATAATGATAATAATAAAAACAATAGTAGTAGTAATGACAATAATGATAATAATAGTGAAAATGATAATAATGATAATAATGATGATGATTATGATACTTGATAGGTTAATTCTTTTGCACATTCTTTCTGACGATATACTAGGATAACAATGATCATCATGAAGATGACGATGATGATGGTAATGATGAAAACAATGATGATAATGAAGATAGTGGTGGTATTGATAATGAAAACGTTGATATAGACGGCGATAAAAATAATGATAATGATAATAATAATTAGAATTGTTTGCACATGCCTCTTTCTAGGACTTCATAATATTAGCTGGATCGTACGGGCGACAGTCGGGATTTATTGAAGCAATACACATGGTCTCTGGTAGTCATGAAGGTCGTATAATTGTGAATACTACAGTCTATGCCATTGAAACCTTTGATGAATCAGCTCAACCTATAGCTACACGTATGTTGGTATTTGTATCACATAAAATGTTTACAATTCAAAGAGATTCCCCTTAACACAATTCGTTAGAGAGAAAAAAAATAATATGCAGTATCTAATTTATTCACACTAGAAATTAAAAGGCAAAATAAATGGATTCACAGTACTAGACTCTAAAATCCATTAACTAACCCTTAGAAACCCCTTAATAATATTATAGTGCCGCCGACCCAAGCCTATTTACGCTCCAATCGAGGACATCACCCTCTCCGTCGGGGACATCGGACCCTGTTTGGCAAATCCTGGTGCCACTATGACACATGTTTGTCTTTCTTCACAACAACGGATATTGTTAGCAACAATATTTAGCATTATTTTATCCTGATATATATATTCTCAACTCACCCCAACCATCTTGGGGCTGAGGTGGTGTGGACTCTTACGCACCCCTACCGTCAAATCCTGCATCCGCCCCAGTGTGGCTCTTTTAGTTTATATATATTATAGTCAAAATGCGATGGGCATTCAACAAAGGGTCCAGTGAGAACAATGGTGTTTGATGAGTACTTTAAACGCAATTACTATACGCAGGATTAGAGCCTTCATTCTACATAATAATAATTGTCAATTTATATAGCGCATAATGTACAATACCTCTGTGCACTTTACAGCAGGAAGTGGGATAAATTATTTAAAGTTTCACCAAAAAACAAAATAATGGATAACAATAACATAAAGTCTGTTTTATGTTCATGTTTCTAAAGCAAAAACATAAACAAGGTGATTTATTTATTTTATGCAACGTGTTTATTTTGTTTTATACAGTGGCGGCACCAGCATATAAATCAGGGCGTGGGGGTGGGGGGAGTAAGGGGAAAGCAGTGGCATAACAGGCGGGGGGAGCAGGGCGAAGACTGCCTCCACCCCACTGACGGATTTTACCGGACTGACTGACCGGGCTGAGTAAGAAGAGGAAGAAAGAGAGAGTAAGAGGGAGGGAAAGAGAAATAAGGGGAAAAGAAAAAGAAAACTGAGAGAGAAGAGAAAGACAAGAATAAAAAGGAAGATATCATATGATCAGACACGGTTAACCCTGCATCCTCTTCTCTATGTCCACAGAGTTAGAACGAAATAGTTTTGAGTAATACATATCTGATGTAAATGATACACAATCTGCAGGAAGTTTCAATGTGAATGCTATAAAAAGTTCAACGGGTTTACAATCGAGAGACCAATTACAATACTCCACCACAAAGAGCTAGGTAAAACGATAATAGGAACCCTCGGCCTTGTATTGACGACGACGTCATCAAAAACCCCGAAAATATGTAAAACAAACGGCCCTTTTTAGTGCCACCATAAGTAAAAAGAGATTGTTAGTTTCTGTCTGCTTATTATTTCAAAGCTATAACAAACAAACCATATACAAAGTATACGCATTAAACAGCAACAATGATTGAGTCTAATACTGGGCTGTTGTATCTAAAACCACCATGTGAACTGCGCAAGATGAACAACTAGCAACGGTACTCAAAATAATTTCTTTCCTCCTTAGCTTCGTGTGGAAAAAGTGTTTAATCGAATTTCCTATACGAAGTTTACTAAGCTTGGCAGGCATAATTTCGTACACGAACGCTAATTGGTTGGCTCGCCCAGTGCTGTGCACTTGTTTGTGTTTTTGTTTTCGTCTGGTTTAGTGCAGTGCACATGGGTTTAGTTTGTCTCAACAGGAACAGACACCATCATAGCTTTGTTGTTTAACACCCATGAAGGGCAATTCCGAAGTTAAACTTTCGTCGTATAGGTAATCTTACGATATTTTCATGTTCTTTAGTTAAATAAAAGATAAAAATATTGAACTAATACACTAGACATATGATTTCATTTGAACAATTTATTATGACATTGTCCAGTGATAAATGAAAACACTAAATACATGGTTTTATTTGTAGGCCCAAACCTACAGTACAGTTGTAGGTCTAGCCTACATCATTCGTTTATAACGTACGTTTATTCAGGGTTATGTACGTATTAGGTCAAACGTCACCACAAATTTAACCCAACCTCAATTTTACGAATCCCCCGATTTACATACGCCCTGTGATCCCGTGCCGTACATAAAATCGAGGTTCTATTTTAGTTTCAAACACACGTTTGTAGACCTAATGTCATACATTCCGTTCAGATATATCGTTTTGTTTCTATACTTCTGGGTGGGTGGAGGGGGAAGGTATCACACCGGGTCGTAATTTACTAGACGGAAAAATTATTACCTCCCCCGCTCTATAAACGCCTACTGTATGGGCATAATTTATGAAGTCCTAGTTTCACAGCATCGAGCGAGGTTTCTTAGCTTACATTGGAATTTTGATATAAATTTAATTGAAAAATAGGCATATTTAGTATTTTTGTTTTCTCTTTCTGGCAAAGCCACCTTTATTCTCATTATTGCACCATAAAAATGTACATAAAATAAATATAAGAACATAATAAATTAATCTTGTTTTCCTACATATTTTCATTTTCATCTTATTTTTTACAAATAATTTATTTTCATTTAACACTTTTTAGTTTTTTCTTTGTTTTCCCCAATTCTGATCATTACATTTCCTTTAGATTAGACCTTAATTTTAGTTCAACAATGAACATCCTGTTTGATTTAACATTTTTCTGCTTTTTAGTGTGTAAATAAATCATAAAATTTGCTTAAATATCAATTACATAATAAATTAATCTCAGTTCTACACCTTTTCATTTCCATCTTAATTTTATACAAATAATTTACTGTCATCTAACAATTTTAGGTAGTTTTTTTTTTCAATTCACATCATTACATTTTCTTTAATTTAGACTATAGTTTGCACCTTAATTTTAGCTCAGCAATAAACATCCTGTTTAAATTATCATTTTTTATTTTTCCTTCTGCTTTTCACCATGATTTGTAAATTACATAACAAGTAATGTAATTAATTCATTGCTTTTTACATTCTTAACTCCAAATATAATATCAATATACGAAAGCATTTTTTACATTCTGTTTTTCTAGTTTGTTAATTATGTTAACTACACAATCCCAATAACCTTTAAGTCTTTGACACTCATAAAACATATGCTTTTCATTTTCCTCTTTTTTATATAAATACCAATTAGGGTCTTGTTTTATGTTCCATACAACCAACCTCTTATTATTTGGTAAGATTCTATGTAATAACTGAAAATTAATCTCTACTAGTCTTGTTTCTTTTATTCTGAAGACCTTATTACTCCATATTAAATCCCAGTCAAAATGTTTACCTTGAAAGATATTCTCCTATTGCTTCTGGGAAGTTGGTTCACAAATATTTCTTGTATTTGTTTAGTATAATATGTTTTTGAATTAACCTTTAACAACTCATTGTTTTCGTTTATAATTGAAGGCTTTTTGTTTATCTTACTAATATATTTGCTTTATCCATGGTTTTGGTATTGCATGTAAAACCTGTTTTACCTGTATAATCCAGTTTCTTTGATTTATAAGAGCTGCTTTAACATAGTTGGTGATTTTAATCTATTACCTTCACATATATCACCCACACCAATTATATTGGAATTAATCCACTCACTAAAAAACAAAGGTTTGTTCTTAAATCTAATGACATCATTTCCCATAGCAGTTGTTTCTTTATTTCATTAACATCTAAATTTCCAAGTTGTGAAATTTTCGTTTTATTTTCTAGTACAATTGATTTAAGCACATCAACATAAAATTTTGGAGTATTTTTTAAATGTATATTATCATTTATTTGCAGACAACTAATATATATAAGGACTTTCAGGGGTGCAAATTTCCGCATATAATATTTTGGAATATCTTTCCATAACCCATCTTCGCCACATAACAACCTTTTTATCCATTGAAATTTGAGTGCAAGACATTGAGTGTAGAAATCAGGTGCATTCAACCCACCATCATTTATATTTCCAATTAGCGTTTTACGTTTAACCTTTTCTGTGGAGTTATTCCAAATGAATTTATACACATTTCCATTATTGATTTTAAAAACTTTTTCTGGAACATCTATCACACTTGCATTATATACCAAATTACTTAGACCTAATGATTTTGCAATGATTATTTTGCCTAATAAAGTGATATTTCTCTTTTTCCATCTATTGAGCAAGGTTTTTAATTTATTTTTTTTTCTGTCCAATTCATGTGTTAACATAAGTTTGTGTCATGTCCTAATATTTTTAGAACCGTTCTTCCATTTAAGATCGTGCGCTTGTTCAGGACACCAATCTTTCCATGGTCCTATCCATATTCCATTATTTTTTTCTTTATTCAATTTTATTCCACTAACATTTGAGAATGTTTCAATTATCTGAATTGCTTTAACAATACTATCATTGTTTTTTAAAAACAGAGAAGTATCATCCGCTAGTTGACATATTTTAGCTTTTCTGTTTTTAAACCCCGGCCTATTGAGGCCTATTTAGTATTGTATTTGCAGGCTGACTGCAAATGTGTGCTTATCACTTCAATGTATCAAAGCAATCACCTGCTTCAATTTTGCATCGATTCAAATGCATGCTCATATGCTATAGGGTGGAGCAAGTCTTCCAAGATAAGGATTATAAACCGTAGACCCAGTGAACACTATTAGCTAAAAATAAAAATCTGAATTGATAGTATTTATCTTTATGTAATACTGCACATTAATAATTTAAAATTGTTAAAAATAGTCGCTTATACACGGCTACGCCCAATGTCTGTTGTAAAAATTGTTACTCGAACACTAGATGGAAATCACAGTGAAAGAGAGATGGCACTACATTTAGTGCAGCTCAAAGAGTTTGAGTTTCAAATATCCTTTTCGATCAAAAATCACTTCAATGTCGTTATATCAACGAAAAGGGGTGGGGCTAGACTGGGTTCCAGTCCCTAAACTTTGTCTTAATTAGTGAATAATGCTTAAGAATAAATCGATTTGGCACCAATGGCGTTCCATATTACTTATTTGCATGGCGTTCCATAATACATT